AGCTTATGTGGCTCCGTCCCGTATATCTAGAGCCCTCAGCGCACGCAATAGCGTGCGTAGCCGCCTGGTATTCCCTATAATCTATATAAACTACCAACTTTTTGTGTCTGTTTGTAGGTATATCGTTCTAATATCTGTCAGCGCGTAAAAAATTACCGCTTGGCCCCGCAGCAATTAGGGACGTGGGTTAAGTGAGAGAGTCGTCTCAGACGGTGGGACGACGAGTTATTGGTATGAGATCGTCGCTATAGATGACGATGCAACTAACCTTCTTGTCCTTGATGACCTGTGCCGTTTTCAGCTACTGTGAGTGAAGAAGATGATGCAAATTTGAAAATTCTGATGCTTTCAAATCCTTCATAAGTCTAGCCACGGTCACGGCACCATATTAAGCGATGTGAGAGTAGTTGCCAATGTTGATAGGCACGACTGCAAATGCAACGTGTGCTAGTAGTTCTAACTCGTTGTGAATTCGAGATGCAGTTAGATCCAGGATCAGCGACAGGCTGATAGTGGTGTCACTCGAACTATCATTTTGATTAACCGGAGAACTCACTTTTTTATTTTGTGGAAACACTCGAAAGTGTATGCAAGAGATTGATTCCATCTTTATTACTGTACGATCATACTGGAGCACTACTGTAAATAGAAAATTTGATAAACCGTTTTTTTCGCAAATTTTTCATATTGAGTGCGGTTATAATCATAAGGTAAACATTCAGTGGTTATGATTCGTCAAGTAGCCCAACTCATTGGCAACGAAACTAAGTACGGTGGAGTTTTATCGAGTGTCCGTCTTATTGGCTTGGAGGAAGGCCCTTCAGGCTTATTCAGGTGTTTTCGATCTCGTTCCCAGTTAATTTTGTCACTTCTTTTCAACTGCGTTTAGTGGGTTGGTGCCGCAGATGTGTGGCGAAATCATCGTTGTGTTCGGTACTGCTGCTCTTTTGTTTGCCGCTGAACGAGCCATTGTGATGTCGGGAATGTATGAGAGGAAGAGCGAAACGAGCGCCAAGGTGCGCTATTTTAACAAATTATTTTTTCAAAAACCTACAAAATTATGTGTCCTAAACGTTCTAGGAAATTGAGGATCTGCGCAAGTTCTCGAACTTCGCCATTCCGTTCGTGGTGAATTCCTTCGGATATCCGTACCAAGTAGTCAGTACTGTGATGGCCGTTGTCGGATCAGGTTTGCCTTTCAAGCTTGCCCAGTCTTTCACTTTCACTATTTCTTGAGAAATACAAGCCATTGAAGGACTTGCTGTCTCTGTTCTGCCCTACGCTCCGTCATTTGTGGACTGGCATTCAGCCTGGGATTACCTTACACCTTATGGCCTGAAGCGAGGATCTCGCTTGTTCCTTCGCGAACAAAATGGAGCTGTGTCTGTTGGACCAGACCAGCAGCTTTACGCGAGCAACAAACATTTTGTTACCTCGCAATTTTCCTTTTAGATGTCGTTAGCGTAGTTGCATGTGCAGTTGCATGCAGAGGCGACTTTCAAACTAATATTTTAGTCCTTCCTGAAGCATATGATCATGTATTGTTTAGCATTTGTTTACTCTATAGCTAGGTCATCTGGACATAACGGCAGTTGCTTTTCTAGTTTTTTTTTCTTTTCCATTTACATTATTTTGTGATTGAGTCACCTATATGTAGTGCCCATTGTTTAAATCTTATGTATAAAGTGCATTTAGTGAGTATGTGCTGTTTTGAGCTCGAAACGGCTTCCTTAAACAGCCCCCATTTGTGGATGATGATATCTGCAAAAGCAAGAAGTGATTGAGGGAAAATCATGATGGTTGAGGTTGAATTAGCGGAAGAATTTGCATGATTTGATTTCTTTTTGCAGACTTTCGGTACGTAAGGTCCGATTCGTGAGTTTTCGAGGAAAAAAGGTGCTCCACGCGTTCATTCAGCGTGATGCAATGCTACCGATTCAATCGAAAAGTGAGTTGAGGGGGTTTTGATTTCGTGGTGAAAAGACACGTCTCAACTATCAGTCAGTGCCACTAGCATTTTTTTGCGCAATTAGCAATCACCTGTTGTCCCGATAATTAAGTTTGAGCGAGTTCAAATTAGTTTCCATTCGTTTCTGTGCATTGTAGTCCTGGAGGAACGTCTCGTCCGCGCCAAACATCTTTCTTTCAGAAGGTTCATAGAAAAATTGATCGGCGACCATCCTTTTGTTTAATTGGGGTTCGGTAGGTGAACGCCGTGTTTCAACAACCGTCACAAATCGCGGGCTTTCGCACGCCCTTGGTTTCCGGATTCCGTCGCGTTAGCGGCAGCGTTTGGCTCATTTACGAGCTGGAAATTTTCTATGCAAGCGCATTTACTACCCTTAGGCTTCCAGCATTGCTTTTTTTACAGCCCGTTGATTAACTGATCACGCTATTATCTAGCCTGCGGAGAGTCCAAGTTATTAGGGGCTAACTCAGTGCAGTGTATAGAGCAAAATCGGAAATATTGGTTCCTGAAATGATGTTCTCCATCTTGTTCGTGAATCCCTTTGTGTTTCTAAGTCTTCTGCATGCCTAGGAAATATTTGAAAGTAGAGGCAGGAATCGCTCGGCTATTCATGAAACTAGTCTTCGTCGGGTTCCGTTGCACTCTGGCGTTGCGAAGATCAGTAGCCAATTGTCCAGCGTGTTAGATATTAGAGGTCTTGAATCTATGCCTATTGCAGAGCAGAGGTGGCTAAACTATCAGCAGTTGATCCAACTGACGTATGACGTTTACGAATGCGGCTACGAAAGAAGTTCGAATGTGATGGTACACGTTAATGGCGAATTTCTGGTGGAATGGCGAGACTCTGGTTGTGAAGTTGTTGTGGAGCTCATGAGTCCTCATGAACTGAGAAGGAATCTTTTTGTTCAACTATTTTGAAGTTACTAACATAACGACCTTCGGATAATTCCTTCAAGATACTGTGACTGTTCCTCTGGACCGTCGAAGGCAACTCATCTTGGTCTTGTGACTGGCAAAGTACCTTTGGACAGCATGAGGTAGGAACATGGGGAACATAGGCTGAAGATTTCGAAGGTCGTGGATTTGAATGGATCTGTACACTGACAACGCGGATGGTTCGTAGGCTTGCACAGCTCAATCTGAGGCGATCAACCGATTCTCCGATCCCGGAACTCGGGAACGTCAATCAGCATCAGATTCGGCTGAAGAATGGTAGCAGTTCTTGTGCACATTATGTCTCTACAAGTAGCCAGTTGCACATCAAATAAACAGAGTTGGTCAATGTCTAGCTATGCCACTCAGTCTATTATGTACGAGATGCCTTTGCAAAATTGTACCGGGAACGAATTCGAAATGGTCAGTAGCATACTCGTCCTCAGTTTACAATTCCAATATCATACTTCGTTTTCGGATGTGTTTCGAGTGGACCATAAAAACAACTTGAGTGAGCGGATTAACCTTATGGGCTCTAGGCAAAAAATTCTGTTGAATAACTAAAACTCGAAGTCAGCGGATCCTGTGAAACAGTAGTTCAGATGTTTGGAATGGCAATCCGTTTGCTACACAAGGTAACACTGAACTTGTGCTCCATACTTGCCCAGTGCCCATTTGCTCTCCAACGCCGTGCATGTAACGGGATTTTCTTGATCGAGTAGCACCTATTACTGTAATACTGTAATTAGGTGTCTTGCTCCACCTAATTACAGTATTACGACACCTAATTACAGTATTACGAAAGTCGCAGACTAATAAATCTGCTTTGTAGTCACTCATTGTTCGAGCGGGAAGGAGGTGTGTTCTAGGAACGACTTCTTCAAGAGCAGAAAAAGCACGCTAACAGCAATGTACTCACAAAACAAAAATGTTCACACAAAAAAAAAACAGTGCAGATGCGTGCCCATAATAACGCCCACTCCGTATTGAACTGTGCGAATGGTAGTAAATAGTTGCCATTAGTTACTGATAAAGGAGGACGAGGTGGTGCAGTGGAAAGTGGCGCTGTATAACACACGCAGTTTCCACTTATCGACTTCCGGATCTTTATCCATCCGTGTAGATCAAGCCTTCCATTCCTCCGAGGTCGGCTAATTGATACCATACAATTAGGACGATAAAGGCACGGGCTGCTATAACGGGTGGTCACTGCAAGCCATTGTATAGGCCACATCCGCATTGAAAACCTTATTACTATTCTGAAAGGAAGTAGAATGCGGGGTGCATACCTCCTACGAGCTTGAATAACACCCGAAGGCTTCAACCATTATTGATATGGGAATGTAAGAGCTTTGGTACGAAATTGGCGAGCACAGATGGCTTGGGTTTGATTTGCTATAGTCTGGAGCTTCTCGTAACCCCAGTTTGAAGGTTCTTCCACTGATCGGTACTGACCGCTTCCCTTTTTTTCTACATTGAACTATTCTAATCCCTGCATCGCTTCTTAAGGTTGGACCGTGAGAGCTAGCTAACGAGCATCATTATGGAGTTATTCATCAAGTCTTACCATGAATAGCGTTAATCTCACTGATCGTCGATGCAGGCAGAGCCCAGCATGCGTAATGGGAGATCGTGTAATCGGTTTGAACTTTTCCAGAACCGTACAGAGCCAATTCCTTCCTTCTCCTTTGAGAGGTAGGCATGGAGGTGTCAGATGAAGCTCGAAGAATGCAAAATGTTCGCAAAACTGGTAAGTGGCGTGAGTGGAAACAGGTGCAATGTTAGCACCAAAAGAACGTGACGGATTAAAAAGTAGTTTGGTTGGTTTTATGGCAGTTGGGAAAACGAGAAGGGTGGTTTTCAGTGAGTGCGAGTCGTCTTTCCACCTGCGTTGGTAGGTGAGGTTGCGCACTATTTACGCTGTTTCCGCTATCATCATTTTACCTCAGATTTTAGAAGGCATACTTGAGTTGGATTGCCTAGTAGGTGATCTCCTTCAACCTGATATCTCCTTGTCTCCTTGTATTTCATCATCGGGAGGGGTTATATGTGATGTCTCTGTAGTTAGACTAAAGAAGTAATTTCTTTTCGTTTGAATGTGGCAATTAGGAGACTTCTCCGTCACCCCTCTGAGATTGTTTACTTGATTATTGCGAAGTTCATTATTTTTGGGTCAGCAGTCTGAAGTTGTATCCACGTAACATCACCCCAAGCTTCTGTCGGCATACCATCTCGTCTGACTGCTTTATCCTCCCTTATCCTTCCGAGGAAACTATGCATCTCATCGGAACTGAGGCAGTTTTTAACGGGTCTTACATTTCTCGGAGATTCTTCTTTCCAGGACAGAGCCGTACTTGCAGGTTCTAATGATAGTGACCCGCACTTTACTTTCCTTGCATATTGAAGACCTTTTTCGTCTTCTGCAGAATACTCCCCATTTGCAAAGCGTATCATTTTCTGCCTTCTCTTTTTCCTCTATGACAATCATAACCACATGTATAATCGTAGGGCTGTCTCGTCTTCATTAGGTTCCACTCAGCCATTGGGGTAACGAGGCTTCCGAGAAATTTCTTGTAACAACACTCTTTAAGGCTTTATCACCGAATCTCTCTTTTTGCTTTCACGTTGGTCTCTCCTATGGTATATACCCATGCAAACCTTCAATAGTTCATAGTACAGAAATACTTACTGTTCTCTGAGCATCTTGAGGCCATTCGCTATTTCGAACGTGGGCTTTCGTACCCGTACATGATCGATTCCCACCCGTCTTACACAAAATATCTAAGTCAGGCAGGCCTGAAACTTCGCCTAGACTTCGTTAGCCTGCCTCCACTCCTCAATAAAGACCTTCCCATTCCTTTTCAGTTGCTCTCGCTTCCTATTCAAGTTCCCAGCTACTATGAATTGAGCCTCCTTCGATGTAGGCCTATAACTTATACATAGGTTGATCGACCTGACGGATGCATTGCCATTGTGTGACAGTTTCAACGGACATAAATTTGATCCTGATAGATTACGACTAGATATTTGATTAAAATCGGTAGTCTAGAAGACTTTGGCGTTGATCTCCCCGCCCCCTTCCTCCAACAACCTAACTAAACCGTGATTAACTTCGATTAACTCTAAAGGTTTATCCTCCAGTGAAATTGGAAGTGCCCGAGAATCCAGCCCCTCTTATATGTAAGAGGCCTACTGTGGAGTAGGAAGTGTGGAAATCTGTTTGCCCTGCTACTTACTAGTTGAAGCATGAACCATGGGGTATGAGGCATAAATCGTGTCCGATGGTGGTCCTAAAAAAGCCTTACCGCGGCGTCGCGTATGCGGAAGTGTACGCTTTCTTTGGCTTCAAACGGGTCTTCATTTCTAGCACCTAGGCGGTAGTCGTCATTCGCACTTAAAGAAACTTATGAAACTGGTTCATCTTTCACCACTCATCCCCTTTCTCTTGCTACACTTATTTCCCTTTTTCGGGCCGAAGGTTGGTGGTTTTAACCGGAATTTGTGCCCATAAGACAGCAGCATTTTCTCGCGTTCGAAACCTTGACATCGA